GGAAGGAAGCCTTGGCTGTCTCGTTCTGCACCTTCTGTTTGTGTCCCTGATTTCTCGTGTGCCTGCTCCCCCCAGCCTGTTCTCTCTCTGCTCGTGGAGTGTCCCTGGTGTCTGCTGTGGGTCCCAGTCCTGTTTGCATGGTTTGATGGCAGAAATCAGCCCTTTCCTCATCCCCCTGCTGCAGAAATCACCACTTTCCCTCTCTGAGCACAGGACCTTTCCTTGCTCCAGCTGGGCAAGGATGTGAGCTCAGTTTAAAGTGCTGATTTTTCATACTCCCTGCTCTCCCCACCTCAAATTGCATCCACTCCTGGTGCTTTTGGCACCCTCTGAAAAAAAAAACATAATAAAAAACAAGAATTTCTGAAATCCAGCAGAGCAGTGTTAGGGCAAGGAAGCACTGAATAGAACCCAAAATTTAAAGGATATCAAGAAACATTTCCTGCCTGCCTGCAGCAGGAGATGATTGGCTTAGCAGGGAGTGGATGAAAAACAATTTTGAAATGTCATAGCTCAGCTCCTCTCCCACCAGCATTTTTGGGAAGCCATTCAGGCTTTGGGAGCCTGGAGAAGGGTCTGTATTTCAYTGATCAGACTCACCCTGAGCTCATCTGGAGCCCAGGGAAGGAAGGGCTGAGCTCCCCGGGGCTGATTCCAGCTCAGGTTAAGCCTGGCTGCTGGCAAGGCAGGCCCAGCTTCTCCCACAGCTCCAGCACCTTTTGGGTCCTTTGCTGGGTGTCCTGGGGCTGAGGTGTGAGCGTGGATGGGAGCACCAGGTCCTGCATCCCTCCTGCCCAGCGAGTTTAATCAGATATTTGATGATTAAACAGTGGAAATTGGGCCGTGTGGAGCTGCTGGCTCTCTCCAAGCCAAGCAGCAGCATCAGTGGGGTCCGTGAAGGATTCCTGTGCTCTGAGGGGGCAGGGACAGGGGATTTCTGCAGTTTGTGGGAGCTCCCAGCATGAGCATGAGTTCCTCCCCTAACCTGCTCCTCACCACCTTCTCTCTTCAGCTACTCACATTTTCACTCATTATAGGGTTGCTGGTTCTGCTGGACTAAACTTTTCCCACTAAACGTCTTCCTCCTCGGTTTGACACACTAACCCAGTTTTAATTTTACAGCCCTGTGTCTGGAGTGCACCCACCTGCTTGAGATCAATCAAATAAATGTGGATTTATGGAGAGAAAATKGTTCTTCACCAGGGCTTGCACTGCTCCACCTGTTGCTTTTCAGCTCTTAGGAATGTTCTCCTATTTGATGAGAAGTGTTTCTCAAAGCAGAAATGAATTTAAACTATTGGGGGAGGAAGGAATGAATCAGGAGCTAAAAATTAGCRAATTCAAAGAGAAGGAAAGTTGAGCAGAGCAGGTAATTAATCATGGGAATGGCTGTGTGTGAAGCACAGCAGCATCTGTGACATTTAAAATCAAGAATAAGCATCTTTTCAAAGGATGTTCCTATTAGTCTGGGTGCTCAATCACTTGGGAAAAATATTCCAGCCCGTGTTCGATAAAAGGTCAAACTCTGTAAGTGCAGTGGTCCCTGAGCATTTCAATATCTCTTTACTCATCACTGATTATCTCTGAGATGAGGGGAAAAAGGACCAAGGAGAGGATGGGTTTGTACCATCCCTCTGCCACAAATATGGCCAAAATTCAGCATTGCTGCTCGGGGAGGTTTGGGGTGGCTCAGTGTTCCCCCAGATCAGCAGCCAGGGGTGTTCCTGGGGGCTGATTTGGGGCAAAAAGTGGCAGAAGCATTTGCCTCTCTGAATTATTGGTGCCTAACCATGACACAGTTACTGCAGAATGCTCCTTCCAGTCAGCTCCATAGTCAAAAGCAGGGATTTTGTGGTGCTCTTTGTCTTTTGGGATTGAGGGAAAAAAAATCTAATTACTGGGTAAATTGATCTGTTCGATATGGCCAGGGTGAGGAGGAAGTTTTCCTGTTYATTTGTGCCTTAAAACAGCCTTGTGTCACCTTTTTTTTATATTCAATGTGCACTGAGAAAGCTGTCCCAGGGTGGAATCCACACCTGGAATGTGCAGGGGGGATGTGGGAGCCTTGGAACGGGGATGAAGGCACAGGAAAGAGTTTGGAAAATCAAAATAGAACCTGGGGAAAAGGAGTGTGGCCTCTGCATCCCTCAGAGGAGCTGCTGGAACACAAATGTGGGTGTCCCACACTCCTGGGGTGGGGTGGATTCCCTCCTTGGACCAGTGAGCAAGAAAACTGAATTCATCCTAAATCACAGTGTCAGCCCAGGGCTTGAARTTTTCTCGTTGATATTTCACAAAAAAAAAAAAATGCGCTCAAGTGTCATTGAAAGGGAGGAGGGAGGGGAAGGGGCTTCGAGTTAATTTGTGGAGATGAACTTTTGAAGGATTTTGGGAGATGAACGTTTCTCTGGCCTCTCAGAGGTGCCTGTGCTGCCCATGAGTAGCTGGACACAAAYCCAGGGGCTGTAAATGTGCAGTCAGACCTTCAGCATTTGGAGTTTTCAGCTGAGGTTTTTTCAGTATTTGGAGTTTTCAGCAGGAGCTGGGATTGGGGAACCCYCCTGCCTTTTTGGGATTGAGCAGGAGGAGCAGTTTGGGAGCTGTGGGTTGCTGGGGTGGGGCTGTAAATCCTGCCCTGCAGGAGGAAGGGCCATTTCCATTTTCTGCTGGTTCCAAAGGGAAATGACA